TACACCAAGGTTCCTGATAGAAGGTTTGGCAAATGTAGCGAAGTTTTCCCTCACCATAGGTACCAGTTTTTTGGGAGCACAAACAAGGACTTCAGTTTTCCCCTCATTTAGCTGAAGAAAGTTATCAGCCATCCATCCCCTAATGGAATCTAAGCACCTTTGTAAAATCGGTAGTTTGGAAAACATCTTGGGGCTTAAAGAAGATATACAACTGAATATCATCTGCATAGCAGTGATAAGAAATATCTTTAAAAGTGCTCAATAAGTGCTGAAGAGGGAGTATGTACAGCAAAAACAATAAAGGCCCCAAAACAGAGCCCTGTGGCACACCATATTCAAGAGAAGCAGAAGAGGACCTGTATTTAGAATTAGCCACAGATCATTTTTCTGTGGCTGATCCTTATGTATTTGCATTTAATATGTTATATTATATTAGTTTTAAGTGCAACTGTGTTAACCATCAGTACAACCACATATAAATCATGGTTTTGTGTTTTACACTTAAAAAACCTAATGCTATGGTTCTTCAGGATTATTTCTATGATGAGTTGGCAACACAGTTCTTATCTTCCTTCATTCCTTCAGACACACACAAGGTTGAGGCTGGCTCATGTGCACACACACAACTCTGACATTAAAACAATCATTTTCACTACTTAAACTATATTTTTCCTTTATATACTGATCAAACCTGTATTTTGAATTAATCCATTATTAACAATAAAAATGCTTTATAATTAGGAAATAGAGAAAATCCCTCTTTTAGGACTCTGGCTGGGAATTAAAACCTTTTACTTTCTCTTAGCTGTGATGTAGAGGGACCAGGTGTCACAACAAGCTCTTCAGCAAAGGCCAGACCTCTCTCAGGTATTCCACCATGCTCTCTCCTGGCTTTTTCAGTCAAACCAGGCTCTTTAAGGTCAAGGTCAAATTTGTTTAACTTTAACTTTTTGAATTCTGGGAAATCTTGGGTCTCACTTTGAGTTACCAGACCACTTTTTTGCCGCTGGTCCTAAAGACTGCAAAGCCGATTGAAATATCCCTGATGTAGCAAATCCACTTAGAAAAGAAAAGTGTACTTTATTGATCCCCGTGGGGAAATTCCTCTCTGCATTTAACCCATTTACTCAGTGAAGCAGTGGGCAGCCATTGGGCGCCCAGGGAGCAGTACCTTGCTCAGGGGTACCTCAGGGTAGCCGTTTAGTGGATTCGAACCACCGACCTTCTGATCATGGGGCCCGACTCTACCTACTGAGCTATCCCTGGTCCTATCCCTTAGCCAAGAAAACAGACAGGATATCTGTAAAAGAGACGATAGACTTTATATGAGACTTTAAAATGGTGGACAACATGAAACACTGAACAACAGAAGAGCACAAATTATAATGGCTTCCCTAATTTTTTTTCTTACTGCAAAGGATCCTGGAAAATGCTGTCTTCTAATGACAATTGACAGGATTGTTTTCACTCAGCATCCTGAGCTAACTGTATATTCTCTTGGTATCATGATGATTTAGTTACTGTTTAAAAATAGTTTAGTCTGGTATCATTTTCTGATATATTTGAGTTTTGTGGTTTGCATTCATTATGATTTATTCCTTGAGCTTATGTGCTTGTCTCACCTGTTGCCTGCCTGTGAAATCAAATGACTTCGTCTTTTATCGGCCACTCTAGTGGCAGAAACTGTTTACGTTTACCTCCCCGTGTGTCTTTGGTCTTCATGTTTATGTTTCCTGTTTTATTTTGATAGTCTTGTGTTTTATGTCCAATGTGTTGAGTTTTGCTTCCCCTGTGGTGTCATGTTCATTTGTGTCAGCTGTGTTCCCCATGTGTCTCCTCTCTGTGTATCCAGTGTGTGAGTTTCCTGTTATTCGTTGTCAGGTTATGTTCACACCATGTTTCCAAGGTTACCGTATCCTCGCCAGGTTTCATCTTCATGTTCAGGCCTTCAAGATACACCACAGCACTTCAGAGTGATATGTTGCCTCGGTCCCACAGACTCCCTCTTCTCAGAGGTCCACGTGTCAACTTCAAACAGTTATTCCACTTGAGTCTATGTCTCCTGTGAGTAGCACTGCCACCCTTTCAAACCCTAGTCTGCCAGCATAAAGACTCTAAATTCTTTCCGTGTCAGTAGCATTGGTTAAGACTGTGAACTCTTTTATCGGAGGCAAATTCAAGATGGGTTAGCAGTGGAGTTTCAGAGCTGCCTAATGAACTTTCTAGTTTAGTTACTATTAAACCATGTAGTGAACCTGAGGCAACAAGCAATAAGTCAGTGTGTCATTTTTCTACAGCTGTGTTGGACTTTGTAAAGACTTATTCAGCACCTCAGCATGTTCCTGTCCCAAGGGCGACTGCGGTCCTGCCTTTTTCTACACCTGTTCTAGTTCCCTGGGTAAAGGTGGCTAGGGCCCGGTCATTCCCTGTTCCTGCTACAAGGGTAGCAGTGAACTATGTTTTGGATGCTTATGCTCTTGTTTTTGGACTTTAGGCTCCTATTCATTTTGTTTTCTTGTTGATCCGTCTTATACCACCCAATTCCCTGGTGGGAATGTAAGTGGCTGCCTCATTTTCCTCATTGTGCACAAAAGTGAGAGGTCTAGAGTTCAGGGTAGCTTTGACTTCTGTTAGTACAGTGCACATTTCTTCAAAGCTGAGTGAAGCTCTTCCTAGTACGTTCTTGAGACAGGTTTTCACCAACTGGACAAGATGATCCCAATATTCACCCCACCAGGCTGTTTGCTCTGCAATGAACTTCCAGGTGATGCCCCTTTTTGAGAAAAACTTCAATAACTGCAGGACTTTATTGGTCTTTTATAGCCCTTTTAAGTCTTGGTCTGCTCTCTTAAATTTTGTCGAAATAGATAACGCCTCTCAGAGCAACAAATCTCTTCAATGCTACCAAAAATGTCTCAGTTGACTGATTCCAGACCAGCTCTAAATGGAGTGCTTGGATTGCAGGATGGGTAAATAGGGCAATGTTAGATTTTTTCACAGAACCATATGCTTTTACATAAAGCGGCCCCATCCAATATCTAATATCTCTCACTTATTTGTACGAGAGAGTCGCTCACTCCTGAGTGCATCGTGACAGTCCTGTACAAGCATTTGTGAGAATCTGTGTTTGTTTGGCAGAATCCAAGGATATTGCCTTCTGAATGTAAATTCTGACTGTTCCAACCTCCCTCCAACACTAAGCAGCTCATGTGGAGGAATGTGGATGAACATGTGGAGTGGTCTGAAGACCATCGCAGACTACAAGGGAAACAGCGGCAGAGTGAGGAAGGTAACTGCTTCTCTACCCTAATAAGCTTAACACCTTCTATGCACGCTTTGATAAACATCTATCTCAAGAGCTTTTGCTGGAAGAGGACAGCTGCTGCTCTCTTCAGATTTCTCAGGCAGTCGTGTGTAAATACATCAGGAAAATAAACACTCGGAAAGCTCCTGGACCAGGCTGCTGTCCCAAAATGTTTTAAGAGGATCACCATCACCCCTGTCCCAAAGAAAACTAATGTGAGCTGCCTAAATGACTATCGAACAGTAGCACTCACCTCCATTGCTATGAAGTGCTCTGAGCACTCCAGTTTGCCTACAGGCCTAACAGATCTACAGACGCAATAGCAAGTGGACTTCACATTGCCCTCTCCCACCTGGACCAGAAAAACACATATGTGCATATGCTGTTCATTAACTCTAGCTCCGCCTTCAACACCATCATATCATCCAGACTCGTCCTGTCTGGATGATATGACCAGTGACCCGAACATCAGCTCCTCCCTGTGCAGCTGGATCCTGGACTTCCTGACAGACATCCACACTCTCACTCAGCACAGGTGCCCCCAAGGGATGAGTGCTCACCCCCCCTGCTGTACACCCTGTTCACCCACGACTGTACAGAAACACACAGCTCCAACACCATCATATATTGCAGATGACACCACCATCATCGGCTGCATTTCTGATGGAGATGAGATGGCATACAGGGCAGAAGTGAGAGCCCTGACATCATGGTGCTGTGACAACAACCTGCTGTTCAACGTCAGCAAAACCAAGGAGCTCATCGTGGATTACAGGAGACTGCAGAGAGGAGGCCACACTCCCATCCACATCGAAGGAGCAGAGGTGGAGAGAGTCATCTGCTTCAGATTCCTGGGCATCAACATCAGCGAGGATCTGAGCTGGTCACACCATGTTGGTGTGATCACAAAAGCAGCAAGACAGCGGCTCTTCTTCCTGCGGCGCCTGAGAAGATTCGGCATGAACCCCAGAATACTAACAAACTCATACCGATGCACCATTGAGAGTCTTCTGACTGGCTGCATCACCACCTGGTATGGAAGCTGTAACGCTCAGGACCAAAGCTCTGCAGAGGGTGGTGAGATCAGACAGCGCATCACCAGGACTGGACTGCCAGCCATGCAAGGTTTCCATAGACAGCGCTGCACGAGGAAGATGTAGTGGATCCTCTGTGATCCCAGCCACAGACTTTTCACACTCCTGCTGTCCATCCAAGCAGTTTAGGAGCATCCAGACCCACAATACCAGACACAGGGATAGTTTCTACCCACAAGCCATCTGGCTTTGGAACTGCTGACATTCTGCACACATCATTACACACTCACTATAGCTACTAGACTCTACACAGTGTCACTTTAACCACTTTAAATCCTCACTGCACAAGATTTTTGCAAAAAATGTAAATACCAAACAACTATCTTAAATTCTCTTATTATTTAATGCTTAAGTATTTTATTGTTGTTATTATTATTATTATTATTATTATTATTATTATTGTTGTTGTTGTTGTTGTTGTTGTTGTTGTTGAGGAGCACGAGCCAAAGAATTTTACGCTGTTTATCTTTATATGACAGTAAAACTTGAAACTATTGTAGAACGACTGCTCTAATTCATAGGTTATGGATTTCATGGCACTTTATGTATCTTCTACCTATATATCTCTAGTTTCTGTGAACCAAGGGCTGTCTTTTACTTACCTAGCACTGTGAGACTGATGGTACTCCAGTGGTACCGTGGCCCAGTCTTGACTTTGCAGCTGTACTCTCCTGAGTCTGTGAGTGACAAGTCACTGATGAGCAGAGATGCGTCGCCTTTTAAGTACTCTCCAGCAAAAGCTACACGACCGCGTTGTCCTTCGTTGGGGTCAAAAACTCTTCCAGAAAAGTAGGTAATCACCTGGTAGGAGGATGTGAAACAGGTGGGTAGTAATGGTAGTGGTTTTGTAACATGTCATGCAAGATAATGCATATATAGAGGAACAACAATGTCCAGTTTATCTACAACAATGAGCAAATATATCAGAGAGAGAGTCGAACTATATGTGCTTAAGAATTTTAATATATATGTTTTTAATTATTTGAAAAAATAATTATTTAAAAATGGAAGGATGCTGATAAAACACTGCTTTGTTGAGCCTTTGCATACTACCAATGTCAAGAACCCAATGTTGCCATTTCTTTGCTTGTTCGTTTGATTGCCTGGAGTAGGGTTACACAAAAATTACCATACTGAATTTCATGAAATGTAGTGGACAGGTAGACCATGTGGAGAGGAAGAAATCCTGTTAAATGTTGGTGAGGAAGGTTCTGGAAAAATATCAGGTTTTAATGTATTTGATTGCAGAATTTGCATCATAGAATAGCGAGCTGTTGGCTATGAACAGATCTTTGAAATGCTCTTTATTTTCTGTCTGTGCATTTAACAAGGCAATGCAAAATACATTAATTGCAACAGCTATGGATAAATGCTGTTTTCCATTTGCAAAAGGTATGCACTCTTTTGTAGTTTTTTTATGTACTACAAAATCGCCAAAATAGTTTTATATAGAAAAACGACTATAACTACAACTTAACTCATACAACCTTTGTGTGAAACTTTTCATGATGCCTAGAAAACCTGTGCAACTGAAAAAATTCAAAGTAACTTAAATATTAAAATATCAATTAAAAAATATTAATAAAAATAATATTTTACTAAAATAATAGTTTAAAAATGACTATGAGACTATGGAAGAGAACAGGTAACAGTAGGTTTGTTGTTGTCTATCCAAAATGGGCAGTGAACCTCATGCATTGAGAGACACATACCACTCTCTGCCTGTTGGTCGGCTTGAGGAGCAGCCACTCAATGTCCAGAGTGGGATGATCACCAACCCAGAAGTGATGGTGGCAGGGCAGCGTGGCATTGTCTCCAACAACCCTCTTCATCACTGTCTGGGCACATGTCATTAGCACACCCAGCAGAACTGTAGAGATACAGGCTTCTTCAAGATCATTGTTCACTGCATCAGATATCAACATAAATATAATAAATAATAAACATTCATGAATCCTAGACAGAAATGTGATTTGAAGATATAGAAATTTAAAAGTGTAACAATTTAGCCAGCTTGCATATTTATGTTCTTAGTCCTTATTGTAAAATCTGAAAATGAACAAGAGTGTCTATTCAAAGAAAATAGATGCTTTAGCAGTGTAGTTTTTGACTTACATTAGATATTTTAAAACTCATGTCATTCAGAAACTGGTCAAGTTATAATGATTTGTTCAAAACTTATAATTGGATAGTCAAAGCCTTGGTTTTAATGTGAGATTTTAAGTGAGATCTGAATAACTATTCAGGCAGGTTCATTAACTCCACAAACATGGCCTCTATCAGCAGAGATGGGCAGAAACCAGAGGTGGAAAGAGTACTAAAATATTTTACTCAAGTAAAAGTACTATTACTTCGCTGAAATTTTACTCAAGTAGAAGTAAAATTACCTGTCTAAAAATGTACTCAAATAAAAGTAAAAAGTAGCTCAACAAATTTCCCACGTGTGGGACTAATAAAGGTTATCTTATCTTATCTTATTTAAAATGTACTCAGAGTAAAAGTTACATAGTTACTTTTCTGTCAGCAGGAGGACAGCTGCTTCTGAGTAGCGCAAAAAAAAAGACAGTGGGATATAAATCTCAAAGTAGTTCTTTTTTAGTGAAAAGAAAAACTTTACATATTAAAGAGCAGTGGCAGTTAAACTGCAAGTCTATACATGAAAATGGATAATGGTCACCAAACCAATCAACCAAACTGTCAGGTATCACAGTGTTTTCAATACAAAACCATATCATTCTTTCACATGAGAATGTGTTCTGAACTGTCAAATAAGAGAACAAGTACTGAACTGAATGGCAGCTGCTTTAAAAATGTTTTTTAATTTTTTAAACTTGGCCCTTTTATTTATTGGACAGTAACAGGCTAGTTAACGGGAGGTTGCAAGTGCTAATTAACAAGTAACAGAAGTCAGCTGTCTTTGACTAATCTAAGGTAAGTGAGCGCTCTGTTATTCTTTTGCCTGCAGTGTGAACATATGTGGGTTAAGTAAGAAAGTAGCCGCTTCTGTCTTTAATTAAACTATTTTTTAAAATAAATTATTATTATTAATAAACAGGAAAAACGTAGGTAAACACATTTTCTTTTGGCAATTTACCAACCCAGTAAAAAAAAAAAGTAAGTTGCGTGGACAACAACGTGCCCGATTACAGCAAGTTTCTAGTACCAACCAACGTTATCTGTGTTCTTCACAGATGTCTTAACTTAATGTGATTAATTTGAACCCAGCCTTTTTGCTACCATAACGGTACGAGTTGTATTTAACTTACCTCTACATGCTTGCACAGGTTTGATGTGGAATTTTTAAAAGCTGCTAACTCGGTCTCTCTGGGCAAACACAGCTTACACTGCATAATAAAGCTGTTGCCTTTCTTGCACTTAAAGCCGAAATGGTCCCTTAAATATGGCCAGGGGTTTACATCCGTTTCTTCGAGTTCAGGGTCAGCCGAATTCGACGGGGCTTCTTTTTTCACTGGATCCATAACACCGATGTCAGACTCCATCTTTAACGTGACCTTAGCGCCAATTTTTTCTACTACCCATCATTCCCTGCAGTATTTCCAAAGCGCAATGTTGTGGTTTTTTTTTAAAATTTACTCAGTAATGGGTGTGATTGAAAACGTAGCGAACTACAATACTTTAAAAAATATATACTTAAGTAAAAGTAAAATTACAGACTTGAAAAATGACTTTAAAAAGTACAAATACACAAAAAAAAACTACTCAATTACAGTAACGCAAGTAAATGTAATTCGTTACTTTCCACCTCTGGCAGTAACGCGTGACAAGTAACGCGTAACTGTAATCCGATTACTTTTTTCGAGTAACGAGTAAAGTAAGGGATTACTATTGCAAAAAATGTATTTAGATTACTGTTACTTTCCCGTAAGCACGCTGCGTTACTGCGTTACTAAAACCATGATTTTTTTGCGAGAGTGTCTCATGACAGTGACGTAAGCGAGTGCGACATTCATGGCAACAGCTGTGTGCAGATCAAAAATGGATCATATATTTAGTGTGGGAGAGAGTATGACTGCGCAGCGTTTAAAGCGTGGAAGTACTGACCTTACTTTGAGTTTGATTCGATAAAAAGTGACAAAAACATTAGTGTCCGCTGCTCACTGCTTGGGATGAAAACTTCTTTTTACAGCAAAGAAACCCCTAAATGTCCAAGCAAGCACCAAATATGCTGCGGCTGGAATGTGAAATTCACAGTAGTGATGTTTCAGTCGCGAACGAAACAGCTCTCAGAGCCGACTCTTTGAAGTGAACGACGCGAGCCGTGGGTTATTTTTTCTTTCTCTCACCCTCTCTCTCGCACTTTTTTTCCGCTTCACTCCGGGGGGCGGTAGTTACACTCGCAGTAGCACAGGAACAGAGCGGGAGGGAAAGAGAGCCAGGGACAACAAGAGACAACATTAGAAAGGTATAGTAATCATCCACAACTATTTTCAGTTGTGGATGATTAAGGATTCAGAACGTTTATTCATGCAGGCCTATATGACAGAGAATGTGTATCTTCTTTTTGTTTTGCATATTTTCATTTATATTTTATTGTGTTGTGGTCTGTGGCGTGTCCAGCGGGGTGGCCTGGGGGGGCACATACCACCCCCCCCAACCAGACTGGCCACCCCAGGTGCCAATCCGAAGCTAAAACAATAAAATTCAATCAAATATCAAATGCTCGATTATGTTTTCACAGTGAAGCTCAGATATCCGAGTGTAAGTGAATGCAGCATCGGCTTCTGTACTATGAGCATCACATTAGCAAAGGAAGGAGAGCCAAGCGCGAAAGACGGCAGGGCAGAAAACAAATTTTCGGCGAAAGAAAATGAGGAGAGAATAAATGTCCTGGTAAGTAATATTAAGTTTGTTGAGTTTAGTAAACTTTGGTGAAATTAGAATACCAAGGAAAAAATAACACTTAATAATAATGGATTGGATTTATGTAGCGCTTTTAAAGGCACCCAAAGCGCTTTACAATGCCACTAATGCGATCTTATAAATCGTCATAAAAATAATTCAAGAATTCTATTTGATACCATCAACAGTATTGTTTCTCCTCCAACCCAGCATGCTCTGTTGCTTTCTGATGAAGATTGTAATACTTTCCTTAATTACTTTGTAAATAAGGTGATGGACTTGAAATCTAAAATTTTCTCAAGTGCCTCCCCTTATGAAGATACCCCTTGTTGTCCTGGATCATTTACCTCCTTTTCTCCAATCACACTAAATGACTTAATTATAGTTTTAGGTAAAATGAAATCCTTGTCATGCTCTGTAGATATATTACCTCCCTCTGTCCTGTCCAGGTCTATCACCAGCATTGGTCCCACATTACTATCCATCATCAACAGTTCACTGAGGCAAGGCTGTGTTCCATCTTATTTTAAACATGCTGAGGTAACCCCTCTGTTAAAAAAACAGAATGTTGATCCTAGCTCTGCTAGTAATTACCGACCTATTTCAAAATTGCCATTTGTCAGTAAATTACTTGAAAAAATTGTTGAAAATCAGTTCAGGTCTCTATTATATCAATTACAGATTCTTGACCCTTTTCAGTCTGGCTTTCAAAAGCAGCACTCTACAGAGACCGCTCTCTTAAGAGTCTATAATGATCTATTAATGGCATCTGACGCAGGGAACTGTTCTGTGATCATTTTTCTTGATCTTAGTGCAGCCTTTGACACCATCGACCACAAAATCCTACTTAACAGGCTCAAGGTTTTGGCTGGTGTATCTGGCTCTGCCCTAGACTGGTTTTCTTCCTACTTATCAGATAGGACCTTTTCTGTTAGGACTGATAGGTTCTCCTCTAACACTGCTGCCCTGACCTTGTGGTGTCCCACAAGGTTCAGTCTTAGGTCCATTACTATTTTCTTTTTATATGCTTCCTTTAGCTGGTATCATTCAATCTTTTAGCGACCTGTCTTATCATTTTTATGCTGATGACATTCAGCTCCATATGTCCTTTAAGCCTCATCAGCTGGATAGGCTGTCCACCCTAGTCCAGTGCTTAACCCAGGTTTCTGATTGGCTTTCAAGCAACTACCTCGTTTTAAATACTAACAAGACCGAGACCATGATCATAGCTCCTCCTGAGCTACATTCTAAAATCAGTCAGGTTCTTGCCTCTTTCTGTCCATCTGTCAAGTCAAATATTCGAAATCTTGGAGTAATATTTGACTCTTCTCTGGGCCTTGACTCTCATGTAAAATCTTTGTCTCGTTCCTGTTTCTATCATTTAAGAAACATATCTAAACTGCGACATATGGTTTCCTCAGCTGAACTGGAAAAACTCATTCATGCATTTGTGTCATCACGCTTAGATTACTGTAATTCCCTGTTTACTAGCTTGGATAAATCATCTCTCTCTCGCCTCCAGACAATACAAAACGCAGCAGCCAGACTACTAACTCGCTCTACCAAGCGTGTTCACATCACTCCCATCTTATACCGGTATTCTTTACATTGGCTCCCAATAGAGTTTAGAATTTGCTTTAAAATTCTTGTTTTAACATACAGAGCACTAAATGGCCAGCCTCCAGATTACTTATCCAAGCTTCTTTTAAAATACACTGCTGCTCGTCATCTCCGCTCACAGACTCAGAGTCTCTTAGTTGTTCCCCGTACACGACTGAAGACAAAAGGGGGCGGAGCCTTTCAGTCTGTTGCACCAAGGCTGTGGAACAGTCTACCACTACAATTACGTTTGCTTGACTCTGTGGATTCTTTTAAAAAGCAGTTAAAAACTCTTCTGTTCAAACAAGCCTTTTGTTGATCTACATATTTTATATTTTTTTACATTATTTACATTTGATCTTTTACATTGTATATAATGTCTATTGATTTTATTGTTTCTTTTATTATTTT